GATGGTGGTGAATATGAGGAGTTTTTGTTTTTTTAATTGCAATTTGTATAATAAAAACAGAACTTGACTACAGTAATAAAATAAATGAAAATAATAAAGCACAACAAAACCATTACAAATTCAGGTCCAAACAGCAACAAATGATTCAAGGTAGCTCTGCACAATATTGGTAAAACCTAACACTGCAGTATTATTTTTATTTTGCAATCTATATATATATATATAATGCGATATGAATACATCATCACCAGATGACTTCATATCTCTAATTGGCACTAATTAATAATGTCAGATGGATCGGGATGATTCTGCAGTGGGAGTGCATCCCCATAACATCTAATAAACAATCTAGAAAAGGTTTGGGATCCCCGACACATTTTCATTGTGGTCTGTGCTATTTGCAGTGTGTTTGTGTATGAGTATTTTCATGCACATGTTTAGTCAGAGACTAATTCATCTTTACTCTTTACATTTCTATAAAATCCAATAAAGAGCTTTTGTGTTGTGTGTATTTTCATCCATAACAATCGATAAATACAATCAAGAATACAGTGGAAATAAAGTGTTTTATCTGAGTCTAACAGTACGCAAGTACAGTAACAATGATGAAAATAAAAATACTTCAATCACATTAATCATACGGTACAGCTTCATATAAAATCATTATACAATCACAGGCATCAAAAACACATGCAAGTGATCAGTTATAATCCAGACTCGACACTGCATACTGTCAATGATGACTGCAATATCAATGCTGAAACCATATATAGTGCAGCTCTACATCAAGGCTTTAAAATTCAGTTTTTTTCTCACTCCATCATTTATAGCTTGCTTTAAAGTAAAATATACTAATAATAATACTACATTTCATTTTTAATACACTTTTCTAAAACCCAAAGCTCTACAACAACAGTGAGAATAAAACATGCAATAAATACAAGGATTCAACACAGACGGAAAATCAGAAACACTCCAGAACTGTCAAGAATATAAGCAAGCGGTCTTAAAAAGAGGAGTTATTTACATCCTCTGAAAACTAGCCAGTGTGGAAGTGCTCCTGATGGACAGTACTGTGAGCTCTTTTAGGCTTTTTGCTGTTATTTGTGGTTCTTTTAATGTAAAAACACACACTGTGAAAAGCCATCAGTTACTTTAAAACAGTGAGTAAACCTTAAGTGCTACAAGCTGATTCCACCTTAAAAACTTCAGTAAACACAGTGACTTTTACACTTATGAACAGTTTAATTGCTGCCCATTACTATCTTAAATGAGTATACCTAGTATTTAGTGGCAGTTTACACGTTTATCTTCCATAAATAAAGAGTAAATTGTGAATATGTGTGATTCAGCTTTACCTGAGGTGTGTGTGAGCAGCAGCAGCAGCAGGAGAGCCCACATCTTCATCTTCATGCTAATGTAATGTAATGTGCATCTCTATGGTGTAGGAGTGCAGGACTGATGTGTGCGTGTGTGTGTGTGTGTGTGTGTGTGTGTGTGTGTGTGTGTGTGAGTGTGTGTGATACGTAACTTCTTGACTGCTATTTCTTAAGCTGTTTCCTGCTGAAATGATATGAGAGTCTTCGTTGTGTCTGATCAGACTGCAGATTGCACCCTGCACTGTCTTTGTCTGCAGATAAGAGATGTTGTGGTGGTTAAAGTTTTCTCATGCATGTATTGTTTTAAATCAAGACAGATGGGAGCGACTGTTTAATAGACCTGCTCACTCGTCCTCAGAGTGCGGTCATTAACAGGACAGCGTGGTGGATTTCTCATGTTTTAGATGATATGATCAGTCTGCAGGATATCTGTAATCTCCACACAGAGACAGAATCTGCTTTCAGAAGATGCAATCGTCTCCTCCTGCTTCAGTTTCTCATCACATCTTCTGACCAATCAAATGCTCTCTAGTGTCTGACATGCCCCACCCCCTTCTTCTCATTGGCTGATCAGCTGATGCTCTTGAGCTCATCCACTCTCAGAGGTTTACATATCTGTGTGTAACTACAGCTGAGTGTTGAGCAAGTGTGCTCAGTGTAATGTTGGTGTTTCTGCAGCTCCTCCACACAATGCCTTCCTGTTTTCCCCACAGCACCACACTACAGCTGAAACACCACAGCGGAAGACCACCACTTACACCACTGCCTGCAGACAGAGTCACACACACACACACACACACACACACACACACACACACACACACACACACACACACACACACACACACACTTACTCACAGGGCTGTTTATATCGAAGTTGATATTTAACCGCACCATGTTGGTGTTTCACATCTAATTTTACGAGGTGGGATGTTAGCTCAACACTCACCCCACAACCTGTAGGCACACACACTGCGGCCCATTTTCATTCATTCATTTTATTTTTAGCTTAGTGCCTTTATTAATCAGGGGTCACCACTGCGGAATGAATTGCCAACTATTCCAGCATATGTTTTACACAGCGGATACCCTTCCAGCTGCAACCCAGTACTGGCAAACCCCCATACACACTCATTCACACACACACACACAATACAGCCCATTTAGTTATGACAGTAGTTCATATGCTGTTCAGCTGCAAAAATACGATGCAAATTCTAAAATCTAGATTTCCCACATGTCGCAGATGGTCATTACTCAGTAGTGTATTAGTGTGTAATAGTCTGCATTTCTCAGTCGTGGATGTGCTGTTGTCTTTGGCTGTGCTCAGTGGGATTTAGGACTCTTTAAACTACATTTGGAAAACAATAAATGAGAATTAAAATGGAGAAGAGCAGAGAAATGAGCACAGATGTGCTTCACACACACTCACCGTCACGCCGCTTCAGGAGGAATCATTCACCGTCTCCTGAGGAACCTGAAAACAAGACAGAGGAAGACTTCATCAGCTCAGTGACGACCCAATAAACCTCAGAGACTGCTTTAACAAGTGCTGTGCAGTGACAGAGAGATGAACACACACACACACACACACACACACACACACACACAGCTATCTTCATAGTCTCTCTATTTCTACTCTAAAATGATCTGGCATTACTACACTTATGGGGACATTTGGTGCCCACAATATGAGGAATACAGGGCACACACACACACACTCTCTCTCTCTGTCTCAGTGTTCTGGCTCTCGGTGTTCGGTGTGTCAGGACAGTCTGCAATGAGCTGGAATCTGCTTCACAGATCTGCTCCATCACTCCAGATCTCCGTCTCCAGCACAGAGGAGTGGAGCCGTCATTGGAGAGCGCTGTGAGGAGAGTTACTTCTGAAAGTAGTAATGCATTACGATATTGAGCTGCTTTTATTTTTTATTTCTCCTGATATATATCTATTGTTTTATTTAAATAAATAAATAAAACTAAATTGTTTCTAGTGCAAACATCAGAAAAAGATCAGAGCAAGTAGAAATGTTGTGTAGTTTTCACCAAGAAATCAGTGAAAATGAAGTGTTTTTTGCTTGTTTAGGGAAGTGCGGTGAGCGAAATAATCTTGTTTCTCTTTGAAATGTAGATATTTGGACTAGAAAGAAGAATTGTTATTTTTTTGTTGTTGCACAAATCATAAATTGCGTATAAACACAGCGATTAACTATAACTCTGCATCTTCTGCTCCACTATAGTTCAGACTGGACACTGCAGATCTCAGTGAAGACACTATTGCAGACGCACACATTGCCATATCGATGCTGAACTGATATACTGTGCAGCCCTCATGATGAACCATGCATTACAGTACTACTGAGTGACTTTTCCTCACCTGTCTGAAGCTTGATTTCATTCAGAACCTGCAGGGGTTTCTTCTTTAATTAACAGAGGAGCTCTGCAATGAACAACACACTGAATAACCTTCAATTACCTATAAAAACACATCAGTGAATAATAATGCAATGTGAATTTCCTGAGGCGGAGCTCTACATGCTGTATATACAGATTAATGAATGTTTAAAGCAGCGTGTTTGCTGCTTTTACTTTATGACTTTACAGGCAAAAAGACAGACAAGCCCTGGCCTAAAGAGGTCAGATAGCCCCGCCCTCATGCACTGATAACCCCACCCCAATGTCAGAGGGCCCAACCCTAAGCGACTGGTAGCTCCGCCCAAAATGCTGATAGTTTTGACTTTAGGCAGATTTAGAATATTAGATTATTTTCTCATAATCTACCCACAGAAGACAATAATATCATTAGCCTATGCATCAACTTGTGGGGGTGTGGAATAAAATTAATTATTCATATTCATTCTACTAATAGAGGAACTGTAAGACTGCAGTAGTGTCCATTTACTGAGTACAGTATAACAGTTGGCAATCCATAATTAAATCCACCACAGAAACCAAGCTAAATATTAATGTTTACAATGTGTACATATTACATTAACGCAGAACTACAGCGTTTCCTGAAGCTGAACCGCGTAAACGAATTTTCCCGCCAAATTAGGATCAAAAAAGGCGCAAAACGCAGAGTGAACACTGAAACTCATGACACTTGACCAAAAATGAAGCCAATCGGAAATGATCGGAAAATACACGGGAAATGAGCACACATTTCAGAAACTTACGTCAGAGGAACAATATTCCCATATGCTTCAGCTGAACAGCTCCAAACTAACTCAAAACAATCTTCCGGTGTGGAATTGAACGAATCGACTCAGTGAACGACTCTATTGACTCGTGAACACAGCTACAGGGAACCAACACATACTGAAGCTACAGCTATGGCTTGTGTTTATTATAACTAATTTGTTTGCGTTAATTGAATAATTTTACCATGTTTCTCAGAATATTTCAGTGCTCTTAAATAAAGAAAAGTCAACCTTGGACCACAAAAGCAGTCATGTGTGTGCATTTATCCTTTATAGCTGTGTTGTAAAGCATTCTAAAGCGATTCCTTCAATATAATATAATGATCAAAAACATCTATGGTTATTATCAGTGTTGAAAACAGCTAAACCAAACTGTAATGCACGAGTTTAACCTTCAGGACTCACAGATATGGACGAACATGTCAAAAGAATATCATTTATTTGAAGTAGAAATATTTCTGGGGTACATTTCTGGAAATATTTTTGGTACATTAATATTATTATTATTACAAATGTATTTAATATTTTGGTCAATTTCAATATAGATGTTTTCCTGATGAAGTCCTTCAGCAATATTATCACACTTATTATTATTATCATCATCATCATATAAAAATATACATGGGTGCACACACGCACACGCACACACGCACGCACACACACACACACACACACACACACACCAGCCTACACAGCTGCCTGAGCCAATAATACTGTCAAAATAAGGGCCCTTCATAGTGTGCTACAGGCAAATACACAACACTTCATCTCACAGACACACAATAAAACACTTCAGAACGGTCAATCATGCAGGAATCAGCGTTAAAAACCATGATATCATCAGAAAATAGAACATCTGCTTCTCTTATCAACATTAAAGTCCTGTTTTTGCAATACTTCATTTAGAAAACATCTACACACACACACACACACACACACACTTATATATATTTAACTTCATAAGCAAGGCATATTGTGTTTGTTTATCACTTTACGGATAAGCAATGCGATTGTCATTATCGTTTACATGGCTGCTTCCTCCATTTTTAATTAATTAGCATTAAAGGAACAATAAAATAATTCAAACAATATAATATTATATACTTAAAAGGGAAAAGAGGCAGTTTTTACAAAGGTAGAAAGCTGATATGTGCTCGAGTACGAGCGAGACGTCCAACAGCAGCATCGACATGCATCTCTGAGGAGTCCTGCGTCCCAAATCACACCCTATACCCTCGCCCCCTACAGTCATATAGTCCACTTGAAGAACTGAGTGCACTTAAGAGATGCGGTTTGGTCTCGCTCAGACCCTGTGATAGTTATTTAACACTGTTTATTAGTAACGAGACATTAAATCATATTTTATTTTGAAATAACACTGATAGGAGTGAGCTTCAGTCGCCATCTAGTGGCCTGATGCCAGAACTCTAGCAGTGCATCATGGGTGTTGTCCAGCTGTTGAGTGTGCATGTGTTGTACCCTCATTATTGCAGTGCATTGTGGGATTGATTGAGTGCACTGCATGATGTATTTGAATTATTTAGCCTGTAACATGTTTACTGCTCTAAGATATGATGACTGCTTACTGTCCAGTAGGGGAGAGATGTTGTTTACCCAGAGCAGATATTACAGCAGTGATCAGGACACCGTCACAATCTCACACCGGCTCATGCACACTTGAATCTGCATGCACTGTTAAGGATATAGGGGCGATTTGGGATACAGCCGCAGTCTGATTGTCCAGGTCAGAGGTCAGAGGTCAGGGTCAGGATGAGCGAGCAGAGCAGCAGCAGCACACACACACTGATGGAGACGCAGCTGGAGGAGCGAACACTGGACAGCTGCAGCTCCGAGCTCAGGAACGCAGACAGAGGGACGTGAGACACCAGCGTCGGGCTGCCCGAGTTAATGAGGGAGTC